AATCTAATAAATTAATGGTTATAACTATATAACAATATAAGTGGCACTACAGTACATACAGTTGCAGCTGCTTTTATTCGAAGGTTATATTAGAAAATATTTTTATTACCTGCTGTTTCTTTTATCAGGAGCTATTATCATTCATGTGCAAACATTAGGTAAGAGTAGAAAGTGTTATCGATTACCATTTATATGTAGTGTGTGTACACACAAGGTTTTGCATCTGCACATGAAGATATAGCCAACCGATAAAGACATCTCGACCCCTTAATGCGTTGCTATCTGAAAGGTTCTGAAAGCACTTAAGGCTTGAGAGTCTTGGCAGCAGGCTCTGTAAGAGCGGCGTGCACACGTTTCTGCTGATAGGATCCTCAGATGCTGGGAGCTGCAGTCCTGGCTCCTGAGGGCCACAGGCTAGCTGGTTTTCTCGGGCTCTGTAGATCGCCTATAGGTAGAATGCACGAGTTCAGTACCTTTCCTCTGGCCTAAAACCTCTCAAAATAGATGCCTACGATTATCCCGGCTTTCAGTCTGTCCGATATCTGCCTTGTTTTTCCCAAGGCCTTCTTTTCTAGAGTCTAATATCCTCGTCCTCGGGGGCCCGGAGCGTCTTGAAGAAACGGGGTGCTGTACCTGGGGAGGAAGGGGAGGTGTTGGGCCCGTGCCCTGGAGGAGAGGAGGAGCTGAGACACAGGCTGAGACAGGCAGTGGCTGGTACTGTTCAGGGCTGGAGTTTTGATTCAGGGTGGGGGGCCGTCCTCTGCAGTTTGGTACAAGCTTGCTCCCCCCACACACACACACACACACACACACACACACACACACACACACACACTGCCTTCTAAGATGGGGTCAATTTAATCTTTGGTCCGAGAAAAGCTTCGTGTTGGCTCGCACTGTACTTGTCTTCCTCTTCACAGCTCTATCCAGGCTTTGTCGTCATGGAGACGACCTTTGGCACTTGGCTGCCTTTTCTAGGATGCAGACAAGGACTCTGTTCCGGCTTTTTGGATGGGCATTCGCTACAATATCCTCTTAACTTCCCAGGTTTCATTCTTACCCTCGTAAGGCATCTGGCCCCATGAGCGGACCTCCCTTCAGAGGGATGAGATAAATGGATTGGATTATTCTGTAGCAGAGACCCTCTCCTGCCTCCTTGATTGATCTTGTAACTGGATCTTTCAAACGATCTCCTTACCTGCGTCTCAAAAGATCCACAGGGCTTGTTTGGCTCTTTAACATTTCCTTTCAACTATTTCCTGAGGGAAACAAGGGGCTTAGGAGGTTCACGGGTTTGTGTTTCAGTTTATGAGGAAAGGCAATCTTTTGGGGGATTAAATAAAAATCATACAAATATTATAGACAACATACAATAAAAAACTGGGAGCATGTTTATCACATGAACAGCTGTATATGAGTGAGTTGTAAGGACTGCAAAAAGGCTGGTGTGATGCCAAACCTTCACTGGGCTTGTTATTAGATAATAAGAACCTAAATCATGTTATAGATGAGAGGAAGCCAATCAACACATGTAGCTTATTCTGTGGATAATTGGTCCAAGGATGTTGTCCAGTGATGTCTTGAAAGGAGACGGGATATCAGCTTCAACAACATGGCTGGGCAGCTTGTTCCACACTCCCACCACCCTTTGTGTAAAGTAGTGCCTCCTGTCCTGACTGGAGGATCTCATCCAGCTACTTCTTGAAAGCCTCCAGGGGCATCGGCTTCATCAGCATGGCCAGGCAGCTTGTTCCTCACTCCCACAACTTTGTACAGAGGTGCCTGCTGTTTTCAGTTTCCTCTAGTCTCCATTTGCGTTCCTGGTTCACGAGGTCATGTGCCCCTGTAGTTGTCCTTGGTCAGGACTGAAGAGGTTCAGTTCCTCCAGCCTGTCAGTGTGGGACGTTCCTTTGAGCCCTGGAATGTATGTGGTTGCTCTTCTCTGGAATCATTCCAGAGCAGCAGGATCTTTTCTGTAGCGTGGTGACCAAAAACTGTGCAAAGTATTCCAGACGAGGTACCTGGTGCACTGTACAATTTGAACACATGATTTCAGTTCTGCACTGAGTATCCTATCTTGTGTATTCTGCTGCCTTTTGTGCTTCAGCGCATTGTCAAGAAGATGAAAAGAATGTTTGCACAGAATATCCTGCCCAAGTTGTTTTCATTAGTAGCTTGTTTCTTCGAGCTTAGTGTCTCCCATCTTTCGTTTTCATCCTATCTAGGACTCTGCAATTGTCTCCATTTAATGGAGCTTATAACAGAAATTCAGGTGGAAGGTTAGATCTTTATTTTGCACACCTACGCTTTCCTACGTATATAAATCTTGCACTCCGGACTGCACTTTGCATCTCTCTCCTGCATCTCCCTCGCCACTCCTTTCACCAGGGAAATGGGCGATTACAGGAACAGAGCTTCTTTAGTCTTGAGCAGAGGTGACTGCAGAAAGGCGTGCAGCAGGCTTAGGGCTCTGGACATGTAGCCAGAAGGTAGTGAGTTCACGGTTCATTATATTATCCTGTTGCATAAATGGAGACACGTGGAGCCATGGAAAGAATTAATTAATAATGATCAGAATAACCAAATAACGACTTGACTATTTGAAGGCTATTGACAAGACCAGCTTAGGACCAGCAGTAAAGCAAGGACACAAGACTAGAAGTGTTTCGGCCTGTAATAATAATAATTGCTTACACTTATATAGTGTTTTTCTGGACACTCCACTCAAAGCGCTTTACAGGTAATGGGGACTCCCCTCCACCACCAATGTGCAGCCCCACCTGGATGATGCAATGGCAGACATTGTGCACCAGAATGCTCACCACACACCAGCTATCAGTAGGGAGGAGAGCAGAGTAATGATGCTGGTAGATGGGGATTATACAGAGGCCATGATTGGTAAGGGCCAATGGTAAATTTTGGCCAGGAGACTAGGGTTACACCCCTGCTCTTTTCGAGAAACGCCCTGGATTTTTAATGACCACTGAGAGTCAGGACCTCGGTTTTATGTCTCAGCCGAAGGACGGCACTTGTTTACAGTATAGTGTCCCCATCACTATACTGGGGCATTAGGACCCACATGGGCTGCAGGGTGAGCACCCCCTGCTGGCCCCACTAACACCTCTGGGGGGCAGGGGGTACTGTTACACATGTTCCAGATGTGCTCCGGTGTGTTGTGGGAGCAGACACACAATGTGCTTCTAGCTCAAGGGCTTCAACTTGTACATCCTTTCAGTGCAGGCCAGGACACAAAGGGTCGACATTTTTTTAACGTTACATTCCCAGACAAATTCGGCCTATTTTTGCTGGACCATACAGACATAGGACGGCTGTCAGGCATTTTTACTGCCGGGTAAAACTCGCTCCACTTTTTCATCGCAGCTCCAAATCAACCCTCTCCCAAAAGCTACATCTGTGAAAAGACAATCTTCTCCATGCCTGCATTAACAGCTGCTCTTTTTATTTAGTGTTTCTCCTGCCCCTTTCAGAAGGAGAGGACATTGTTTTCTTTCGGCTCATGCAAAGGGGTCTGAAAATGAGCTCAAGGGGAAATCACAGCTTTGCGATCCCAGACCTGCCCTGTCGTGCTGTGTGCGGAGGCAGAGCCCTCCAGTCCTGGCCTCGCGGCGATGTACTGTTCGTTTTTAGAGTGGCAGCCACCTCACGGGCCACAGACTGGGCTCGCTCTGTGCCTGGCAGCTGCTCTCCCTGCCAGCGCCGCTCGGCACCCTGGCACACGCTCGGGTCTCACTTTCGAATGCGCCCAGCTGCCCGGCGCTCATTGCCAGCCCTATGGGAGACAGCAGCAGTGGGGGAAAGTAGCGGATCTTTCATCATAATCCGGAGGGATCCGGGATCAAAGTAGATGATGTCATAATGGCGTGAACAGCTGTAACCCTTTACAGCCTGAAATATTGTTTGTGCGGAAAAAAGGAATCAAGAAGTGCTCATGTACTGCGGGCCGCTATTCACATCTGGCTGTCTTGGCAATAAACTCTGGTCAGCATCCTCCTTGATTCCACGGACACATGGACATAGGAAAGCCTACCCTTTCTCCTTGCTGCTTGCTTGATATATCCAGATTTGTAGCCGTTCAACTCCAGCAGTCCTTGCAGGGTTAAACAGCATGGGAACTGCAATAGAGAAGCTGATGGATGGGTCAGTAATTGTCTGTGTTAAATGGCAGAAAACTGGGTGTCCCATCCTGGCTTAGGGGAGTGAGACACTGAGGCTACTCCACACTTGATCGGGGAAGTGGGGAGACGAGCAACAGTCTTCCTTATGGGGGAAGAAATCCCAGGGGGACAAGTTTTAATATTCGATGGCATCTAAGGTGTATGTCTTTGGGAGGAAACCTGGAGCATCCGTTGAAAACCCACATGTACACGGGGAGAACACGCATATTCCTGTGGCTCCAGTTGTCTTTGATGAAGTTTGGCTTTATGTACTGGTGGT